AATCCCTCCATGTATATATCTTTGTAATGTAATTTGTTACTTTACTTTCATAGTTCCTCCGGCTGTGCATTATGCTAATCTCCTGATCCCATGTGAAACAATTGCCATTTATGCTTTATTGTGGTTTTTATTATTCTGACGTTTCTACTGGATACTGTGATTTTGTTGCAATACACTCGTACAGTTTTACTTGACATTTTGGTTGTGGCGGAGGCCGTAATAATTTGTTCCCTTTTTGATTGTGTTGTTTGAATTGAATAGAATTATGCATTGTTGCTTATGAATTGAAGCAGGCTTACAGAACTGAAAACGATGGGCATTGTAGCAGGCAATTCTTGATACATTTGTTATTATGGGCTGTCCAGAACAGAAGGAAATCGTGGAAGGAGCATAGACTATTGATTAAGATCACGTTGTATAGTCGAATTTCCTGTTCATTCGTGTAAGACACATTCGGACAAACAGGACGAGAACTCAGATGCATTAAGTGTTAATAAACACTGTGGATTTACCAAACAAAATGGATGAATTGTATGAACAAAGTAATGCTAAAGATATCCATCTAGTAGGAATATCTGAAACATGGGGATCTGAAACTTCAGATCAGCAACTGGCAACAGAGGGCATATTTTTGTTTCGCAACGATAGGAAACCTGGAGGTGAAGGAGAGGAATCCGTATACTACGATCCTGCTTGCAAGCGCAATTAGTGAACATTTGAGTGGTTGTGAATCTTTATGAATCCATATGGTGCTCAATATGATTGACCTACGCCTTATGATGTCTAGTGGGAGTCATCTACAGAATACAGGACGCGTAATCAAGCACGGTAATCCCATGCTGGTCAAATTATCCCGCCATCTGTTTTGTATTTCCGGATTTAGCTTTATCCTTTTTGCATGATGAGACCTGTTGCTACGGAAGTAACTGCTACACTGGCTGTTTTTTTCTACGTTTGTTGCTGTGCTCGGGATAAAAGAACCATTGAAGTCCTAATCATTCAGCCTCATTCAAGTTGCTATCGTACTCCTTGCTTCCGCTGGAGTATGGAGGTATTCATATCCAGAAAGAGAAAGGTGGGAGTGAACAGCCTTGCCTGACATCAATCTTCACTTGGACTGCATTTATCAGCTGTCCTCCGTGCATGGCTTTGTAGTGTGGTCTGTCGTATGAATGACGTGTTGTATTGACGACTTTCTTAGGTACACCATAGCACCGAAGAAGGTTCTATAATGTTGCCCTGTCCACTCTTTCAAGTCTTTTCTCCTAATCAAGAACGTTTAGATATGGTGACAAGTTCCATTCAATTGATTGTTCGATGATGACTCGTAATGTCACGATTTGGTCTATGCACGGTCGATCCTTACGGAATCTGACCAGTCCATCTCGGAGTCAGACGTCTACTGAATCTTTCAACCGGTTCAGAAACACTCTGTCGAGAACTTTTCCCTGGTACTGACAGTAATGGGATGACTTTAAAGTTCTCATATTTGCTTAGATCTGCTTTACTTGGTATCTTGGTGAGGTGTCGTTTCCAGTCTGCCGGAACTTGGTTTTCCTCCCGAAACTTTCTGAAGAGAACGTAGAGCATGTTTGCAGTTATACCTAAGTCTGGTTTTAGTGCTGCGGCTGGTATATTGTCGTTGAGATCTGTCTCGAATTCATTGTGTTTGTCAGTGTGTCGAAGGAAGGCTGTACTGGACGTCTTGAGTGCTATTTCTCCAGTTGTCCAGTGTGTTTTAGCTTTAGTTTCATCTTGACAACAACCAGGTGGTCATCTGAAGCCATGTCAGCTCCTCTCCTAGTTCTTACGTCTTCCGTCAAACTGAATTTTTTTACTGATGCAAATATGAGCTATCTGGTTTTCCGTGGTGTGATCCGGTGAGACCCATGTAACTTTGTGTATGCGTTTGTGTGGGAATATTGTGTCACGTATGACCAATTTGTTGAATGCACACAGATTTGCGAATCTCTCCCTGTTTTCGTTTCTCTCTCCCAGTCCATGTCGCCCCATGATATCTTCATACCCAGTATTGTCTATTCTGACTTTGGCGCTAACGTATCCCATCAGGATGGTCAGGTACTTTCCTGAGCAGTTGCTGATTGATTTCAGCCTCTTACAAAACTGGTTTTTATCGTCATCGTCGTCGTCGCTATCATTGATAGGTGCATAACATTGGATAACATTCATTGTGATTAATTTATCTGCTTTAATGATCCTGGATCCATGAGATTATAGTGACTTACTTTTGTCAACAGAACGCGATTGGTTCGATGAAAACAATTATTATTATAACCAATTGTACCAGTGACTGTTTTACTGTGCTCGTTTGTTTAACTGTGCTAATAACAGCCATTTCGGTCTTCCATTGTACTCCATTCCTTCTACGCGGTTTTCGACTACGCACGCACCTTTTCCTGCCGATCGCATCTGTACTCCTTTGGCACGATCTCGGTATTCTTTCGATACCACGAGATTGCCAACAAATATAATACAACTACTACTATCATCTGCCATCTGATTTTTGGCTTACCGGAATCTTATTGGTCTATTGGCACGTAGTCTGGTAGCGGTGTTCATAGTCAAGCTCAACTCGACACCACGCTACAAGATTCTCATCCTATAAATGCTGTACGTGCTTCTTTGGATAACATCAGAGCAACTCCTTGAGCGTGTGGAGCAGATTCTTCTTCGTGATTTGAACAAAACAACATCTCTCCCAAATCTCTCCTTTTCTGTTCGGTTTGGCTCCAATGGATTTCAGTTGTACCGGGTACCGCCACGTTGTATCTCTTCGTTCTCGTTGCTGTTTGAGTGATTCTCCTGTTATCCCATATTGTCTAAGCATTCCATGAATCTATATTAATTTCTGCTTTGTTTGTTAAAAGGCGCATTGTCCTCGTGACTTCCGAAGAATCTTAGCTTTTGAAATTCTCCTCTGAACTCGGAGGACAGAGTTTAAATGGTTTAATTTAGTCAGCTTTTCTAGCGGGGCAGTTTTTACGGAATGGAGATTCCGACCACATACCCAACCCTCCTCGTTTACCCGGCAAGACGACCATCAGTAAACATTGAAAAGCTACTATACGGGTTACAGGGAGCTGTAAAGGCAAAGAAATCTGTGAAACAAACAGTTCTGCATGTCCTTCACGCTGATTCTGTTCTCCTTCACGTTACTCGACACACCCTAGCTGATGACGCTTGGTCGCCCGTCCGTGACAGATCGCGAGTGGGTATACTATGCTACGCGTCCCTTGAAAGTTCTAACCAGCTTAAAAAACTTTTCGACACATAGACAACTTATCAAATGTAACTTTGAACTCCTTCACTTCTGACTTCTCAGTTTACTGGGTTGGTATTGTTTATTATAAAAGTGTTACAAGTGATAGAGTTGTCAAACTATGTATATTTGTGACGTCTTTAATAATTAGGATCCTACCTGAGGCAACCGGTGATGCACTACTACAAAATTTCAAAGCTCGTTTAGCGATAATTGTTTTCATCAACTCCCACAACCATTTTAACCATTTAAACAAGGTCTAAGAGACCAGTAGCTCTATCTAAAAAAATCTCTTGACCTTGACTGATCGGCTCTTGATTTGACTCTCAGTCTTGCAGTGGGTTAAACTACCTCCTTCCTTCAGCTTCATTCTCAAGATTATCTTAATCTGAGGCATTTGTTATTTCCCACTTGCTGTTTATTGCTTTCCGTAGTAAATATAAGTTCATTTCGTACTCTTGCTTGCTCACCGACTCACTTGTAGTCGTTCTCACAGTACTGTGCATGCTCCTCTGGTACACAGAGTACATTGTACTTTGTGCTACTGAGAAGTTGAAATACAACTTTCCTTGCTTCTAAAACGTTTTAAATTCCCGAAGTGATTTTTGGCGTACAAAGTTTGTATGTACCCTAGCTACCAACTTTGGGGAAATCTTGGGGTTTCTGTGCCATTTCCCCAAAATTTCCCCGAAGTTTACTATAGCGGCTTCCCCAAAATGTGCCAAAATTTCCCCAAAATGTGCCAAAATTTCCCCAAAATTGGGAGCTTGGGTATACATGGGTTATAACCCATACGAAAATCAATGTGGCTTTATTTCATCTTTCTGTAGGTCATGTAGATCCATGTCAGCAGAATATACGAAGTGTCTCTTGAATAACTTTACATCAATAATGCTAGACTTTCATGTTCTCCTTTAGAACATTATGTTATGTGTAGGTGTTACAAATTATCCGGTAGTAGAGGCTTATGAGGCACTATTATTATTATTATTATTATTATTAATAATTTTGGATTGAAAACTAGCTCTCTCAGATCGGGACTTGTTAGCTAACTCGGTAACCCAGGTAGTTATCTTGCGCTGTCAACTAAGGGCCTATAGGTTCATGTTTCCAGATGAGTAGCGAGCAAAACACGCTCTTGACTCACAGTGGATATCTTTTTTTGATCCTCAGTTTTCACTCGGTTCATATCGTTTGGCTCCACAGTTATTGATTGGTCAGTTTCTGAGCCGTCATTGAGATCAAAATGTTTCCTAAAATATTTTGCCTTGACTTAATCCCACTATCTTCGAAGCACTTCGGTAAGATGCATCAAGTTTTATTGTATATGAAATAAGAAATTGCAATTTAAACTATTTACTGAAAACAGTTTTGCAAAATCTAGCGAAAATGATTCGCAGGTGTATTATTTTAACCAGAATACCTGTCCCACCTTATTTTGTGAGAAATTGGTATTTGAATGTAACGTCTATGAATGCAATTTATTAGTGGTACTGTTGTTATTATTGAAAACTATTTGCTTTAATGTTCTATACTTTACAATATTCTGTGTATATTTTCATTGATCTATGTGGTCGATGTTGAAAGTCTAACGTTTATACTTGTACTTTTTCTAAAAACAACTTGTATTCTTATGTTCCAGGACTATCTCTCATTTTGGTGGTCTCATGAACTAACTATTCAAATAACTTAGCATTGATCCTATGACACCCATCAACTGATGACAAACCAAGTTGTTTTGAAGTATGAAAAGCTAGAGAAAATTGGAGAAGGTATGTACATGCTGTTTTAATAGTGTTTGTATTACCCTCTAGGTACATATGGTAAAGTTTATAAAGCGAGAAACCGAGAAACACATGAAATTGTTGCGCTTAAACGTGTTCGACTAGAAAATGACGATGAAGGCATTCCTAGTTCAGCTTTTCGAGAAATATGTCTCTTAAAAGAACTCAAACATAAAAACATTGTCAGGTGTTTTCCTATTTAGTTTATCAAGTAATGAAATTTTTAGACTTTTTGACGTTCTGTTAAGCGAGTCAAGGCTAACAATTGTATTTGAATATTGTGATCAGGATCTGAAGAAATACTTCGACAGTTGTAATGGTGATATAGATCAGAATACTGTAAAGGTATCAAATAAATTGATGTACATTTTATGTTTTGATTGTTTAAACACTGGCCGGAAGTTTGTTATTAGCTAACATAGGATTCAGCTCTGAGTAAAGACAGATCGTCTTCATTATACATGACCACCTTACTTAATGTGCGGGTTTTGGTGACGTCATTAACAAAACATACCTAGACAGTGGTACATTATTTTATCTCTTAATTTCTGAAGACGGCATAGGAAAGTAATAGAGAAGTAAAATAATGGAAAATCTAATAGGATACGTAACTAAAAATGAGATTAGAATTTTCGTTTCATAAAGACAAACTTCAATTGTAACGGGTAGTAATTACTTTCTGACTCGCTTTTTGAATAAAGCAATAGAGAAACCTTTTAAATTATAGTCCTATTATTATGAAGAGTTATTGAGTTTACTTTTCGTCTCATTGTCTAGATAATGGATAAAATAATAAATTTCATGCGGCCTTTTGTCTCACTCCACACTTAAGACCCTAATCTTAGGTTTGTTTCCTTGCTAAGCATTCCACTAACTTATGCGGCGATAATTCTTCATGTGCTTTGTGATTTTCTCACTTGGGTCCCAAATTGATTTCCTTCATTCGATAAAATTGATCAGTTGATCAGTTTCAGAAACTCATTATGTCCCATTTATCAATTTCAAATTCACGAGAAGTCATGGTTTATACTGTTTTGTTTATCGTCTGTCGGCTATTGTACTATGTTTTAAAGAATAGTGGATCTATCTTTTATAATTTCCCTTACTAGGACCCAGCTATTTCTATCACTTATTATTCTTGGACACCAATTCACTCGACAAGTCCCCAAATCAGAAATTTTAATTAGGGGATAAACTTAATGCTAGTGCGTGGTCATATAGACTAAAAGACCATGAATGTGTTGTTGTGAATACAGATTAGACTCGTTGAGCATCCTCAGTGTATGGGTACTGTGATAGGAATATTCTGGCTTTTATTTCTTAGATACCTTACCAGACCTTCTGCAAATGCATCAGTAAGGTATTAATGAATTATTAATGAATATATATATATATATATATATATATATATATATATATATATATATATATATATATATATAGTTATATCCCGATGGGTAGAAAAATTGTATTTCTGACGTTTCGTAGCTTAATGTAAGCTACTTCTTTAGAGTAAATAAAACTTGTTTGAAGCTATCAAGTCTAACCTCGACATTAATACATACAAACTCATTGGTGGGTTACGTCTTAACTGCTTCACAACTAGAACTCAGAGTAGTTTGTCGGGATAAATGGTCAAGCATTTGGATGTTTTAAGTTATCCAGCTGGTAATAATAAACCACGGATTAAATCCGTGTGAAAAACAAATCTTTTATATTCGATTTTATGAAAATGATCGAAAAAATATTTTAGGATCTTTGTGTTTCACATTTCTCAGCTTTTTATGTTCCAACTTCTACGTGGTCTTCAGTTTTGTCACAGTCACAACGTTTTACACCGAGACTTGAAGCCACAAAATCTACTAATCAATGATAATGGAGAGTTGAAGTTGGCTGATTTCGGTCTGGCTCGCGCATACGGAATACCTGTGCGACAGTACTCAGCAGAAGTTAGTTTTCTTGTCTACTTTAAAAAATATTTTTCCAGTAGTTCTAATTAGGGACAAATTAAAATCACAATATTACTGTGTTTTATCTATAATTTGAACTTTTGGTTACTATATCTTTGATACATATTTCACGTCATGACTTTCTATGGTTTTTAGCATTGGGGTATGCAGTCATCCCTGTTTCCCTTTTACAATAAAATATAGAAATTTTCTGTATGATAGCGGATTCATTCAAGTATTCTATACATCCGCATTACGTCATATAGCTAGTTAGCTTCTTGATTCACAGTTTATTCGAACAATAAAGTTATGTGTTTGTCTTTAGATTTGAATACCACAACTCAGTGCAAAAGTAGTCCAGCTGTAACCATGTTACAGGTATATAGGTCAGTAAGCTTTATTTGTCTATGATATTGCGTATCCTAGTTCTACTTTCCATGAGATGTTTCATTGTAAGAGTATTCTGCCAAATGACAACGTATTGCCTAATACGTCAAGATAAATGGTGAAAGATAGTTAAATTTCTTCAAATAACTTTTTTTCTCCAGAATTCTTACGATAGCATAGACAATTACAGAATTAGTGGTTTTATACCGTCAGCTCACTTAACTACTATGTGCTCTCTTCCGGTTACTTCTGTCTAAGGACTGATGATCTTTAGACAGTTGGCAACCATATTCAGATCAAGATTTGGTTACCAAATGACTCGTTTTCTTTACCTTGTCCTTAAACTACATTTGGTTTGTACAGTATTTCCTTAGAGATACTAGTGTAGTGAACAAGAACACCAATGGGAACAATCGAATGTATTTAACAACAAATTACAGAACTAGTTAGTAAAATCTAACAACCATATATTAAATGCTCTATTTGCAAAATGTTTATCAATTGTCTCAAATGACTCAGAATTCCTTTGTTCTTGCACTTTCATACAAATTGCATTCTTTCTCCATTCTTTGTTGTTCGATCTTCTCGTCTCTCTGCTGCCAGACATTCTGTTCACGACTCACATATACTACTTATATCTACATAAGTAGCACACACCACACTAGTAGTACTCCTAAGACAGAAGTATCCAAATACTGACAACTCGTGATTTTCTTTGAGTAACATATGACGAATCCAAGCATATTTACATTGTATACTTCGCCCTCATTTAGTATTTTTCGTTTTTTAATTACATGGACAGCGTGTTTGAAGTTTAATCCTGTCACTTATGTGGCCATCTAGGTGGACACAACCATCTACTTCAGTAAAGCAAATTTCATATTCAATCAATCCGTCACACTGTCAAGGTATATGTGGATGAAAACAGCTACTGATCATTTTACACCTCAAAGATTTGAAATAACTGCCAGCATGTCTTGTTTTTCACTGCATATTTTTTATAGACTGTATCTGTACGGTTAGTTGATCCAGAAAACATTTATTTTTTGAATTATATCTTCACTTATACCAAGCACAGCAAAGTTGCATCTTCTGATTTCTGCGGCTAGCAGAATGACCTCTCCTATCTCTCACATTATTTGAATATTCCATGTCCTTATGTGTATTGCTCACGTCTATCAATTATGGGGTGAGTATACTGCGCGGCAATTCTTTCTGTTCTAATTTACGGATGCTAAACGTGGTCATTAAGAGTAGGAGGTTTCTCTTAAGTTACTAGTATTTGATTATAGATATCTTGGGAATATTTCTCGTATCTGCTAGGATCACCAGGTAAGTAATAGTAAGGTTGGACACAGGGTATTACGGAATGATGGTAAATCAGTTGATGAGGTTACAAATCTTCATGGACTGAGATAGTTGGGCTACGTGTCACGTATGCCTAAACACCGATTACCACGACGCGCAATGCTGACTAGTGTTGGGGAAGGTTGGGAGAAAGTTAGGGGCGGCCAAACCAACGTGGCATCAGTCCTTGAAGTCACTAACTTGAGGTTTGAGTCATGTTGGTAGGTGCAGACTACTTGGTTAGGGTCCGCGTGACTATCGTAACCAGTGGTTGGAGACTCTGGGTGACATAGCTCAGAATCGATCACAATGGCGTAGGTACATACACTCTTTGTCTTCTCTTAAACCGTGAGATCAAAAGTACTATATATCTTTCTTTCTATGAATTAATTCTTTCTTCGTTTATCATGTCCTTATATGAAATTTTTTTACTACCATTAAAGTAACTGCTTCTATGTATTTGGTGTTCATCTTGTTGTGTTAACCTTACATCAAACTCTCCTTCTTTACTTGGGTTTCGGACCACTGGTTGCTTCAGAGGAGCGCCAGTTGGAGTTCCTTTGGATTTATTGGCTAATAAGTGATTAAGCTTAACATTTCAAGATTGTATTTGGTCGCCATATTTCCCTATAACTTTTTTATATACGTTGAAACTTAATTTGCTTGTTTCAAAACCTTCTGGGACCATGGCCTTAGCTTAATTTAGTGATTTCATTGGTGTCCCATTCTTCTTTTAGCGTAAATGAGTCATGGAAGTTAATTGTTATTTTTTCATTAAAACAAATCTCCGTAGACATTTGATCTATTTTTCCGATAATAGATTATCTAGTTAACTTTCGCATCCATTTTCGTTGATTAACTGTTGATTTAAGAGTGTTTTATTCTCGAATACTTTGGGGTTATTTTTAGTTACTCGATCTTTTTTTTACTGCTTTCTAATCATTTCATGTGCAAACATGTTATAATTATTGCAGAAAGTTTATTCTTGGACTAACAGTCATCATTACTTTTTTTGAAGCTTTCAGTTTAACTGTTTTATCCCATTTTTCTTCATCATGTCAAAAAAGTCCTGTGATACTTAAAAATAAATTCTTTTCAGTTCCACTACGTGTTTCTTTAAATAGTTTATACTTGCTACTGAACTGTTACTGGAAGATTTTAATTAATCTAGATTTCAACGAGTTGAAAAGAATAAGGTTTCAGGTCATTTATGTTTTTGTGACTACACAGGTTTTTGTCAACTGACGGTTTCTCGAACTAACTTTGTGGTTGTAACTTTTGCTTAAGTAAGTAAATCCATTATCTTTCTAAATCATCCATCAGTTTCTCGATTTGGTAAACAAATAATACTTTTCTGTCTTTAGTTTTTCGGTAATCAATCATAATTTCTAGAGTTTGAATGAGAGTTGTGCAGTTTTGAAACATGAACCCATAGTCTAAGTAAACTATCGTTTGGCCTTAATAACACGATTATTTATCAATTATCATTTTACCACGGTTTCACTATTCGACTCAAATGTGTTTTATGTCAAAATTCAAATATTCAAAATAAATACATTGCAACTTTCAATATCAAGAGATTTCTTTTTTTCTAAAAATTGAATTTTAAACGGCTTTCGCGGTTTTTCCTCCTAGGTTGTCACACTTTGGTATCGACCACCAGATGTTCTTCTTGGAGCTAAATTATACACGACTTCAATTGATATGTGGTCAGCTGGTTGTATTTTCGCTGAAATGTCCAATGCTGGAAGACCACTTTTTCCTGGTTATGATGTTGATGATCAATTGCAGAGAATTTTTAAGTAAGGAAAAGAAATGAAATTATGTTTGTATTCAATATGTAGTACCTTTCATTCGTTTCTGAATTTTTTCAACTGTGGAATTCATTCAGTATTTTCACCTTATTTTTGGGATTAGGTATTATTAAAACAGTTGTCCGAAAACTCAATATTTTTTTGTGCTTATTATTAGAATGAAGGTTTGGTCTTGTTGTTTTCATAATTAAAATGTTAACGGATAAAAATATTAATATTGAAAAAGATCATTTATATAAAAAGTGTAGTTATGTTACAAAAACAGGACGTATCAGTGTTTTTTTGCAGAAAAAAATATTGATGAAATCTCCTTATACCTTTACTTTCCGTAACTATTGTTTTCTTTTACTACTGTTCCCGTCAGTACTCCTACTAATCTGGGATTTGTCTTGAAATAATCTTATTTGTCTGTTCCAATGTATTATGACAGCTTGAACCGATTCACATGTGTTAGGCTCTATGTTTCTTATGACTGATTAATTAATGAAATCTTGGTCTAACATATCCTGTTTAAAATAGACCAGTTCCATATTTAAATTACTCACTTAAACAAAGACTGCACATTACATAAAATGCTATTTCTGGACTGTCTATTTCTCTGTATTGAGCAGTTACAGATTATACAAGGTCAATATGGATCAACATGATTGAATGATATAATGCCAATCTATTTTGGTTATGAGATACACAAAAAAGTCCTTTTTGTTACTTATCAAGGCAACAGATGAGAAGCATGCTACCTGTGGGACCAAAATCTGTTCATTTGCAACCAGAAACTGTGAAGAGTTTTTAGGGAGTTGGATTGATTCATTCTCAACAATCAGATCATAGAGAAGATTTGTAGCTCAGCTGGATGTTAATTAAACTTAATCTAATAATTAATAATGTGATTCAATTAAAAATTCTTTGATATTAAATTTTAATAATATCAGTATTAAAATAAAAAATTCCATAAATTTTTTCATTATGATCCATGGAAGAATATGTTCAGCTAAAATTTAATTCTTCATACCATTTATCTTGAACTGTTCAAATACGGTTATAACATTAAATAATATTTAGTCATCTAATCAAGTAGTCCCGTAGTAATAGTAATCAACTGATTAGCAAACTTTTTAATTATTATCTAGTGAAGTTAGACAAAAATGTTTTTCAATAGTTGAAATCATCAGTCGATTAAAGCTAGACCACCATAGAAAACCTGGAAGCACTGGACGGCCGTTTCGTCCTATTGTGGGACTCTTCAGTAGTGCGCATCCACGATACTGCCTCTCGAGATTCGAACCCAGGACCAACTAATCCATGAAATTGGGCGACACGTTCACCATTGTCTACAGTGAGTTACTATCTGACCGTCCAGTGCTTCCAGGTTTTCCATGGTGGTTTAGCTTCAATTGACTCATGATTTCAACTATTGAAATCACTAAAATCTCCACAAAACCCCTTCTAATAAAAATGTTTTTAATGATAAAACTGAATGTAAACTACTTATTGTTCTAATTAAACAGTTGTCATATTTGTAAATTACATCTCCATTATTGTATTGATTTGGTTAGTCGTACGTAAACAATTCTTTCCTTTCAAATTATTTCCACTCTACTATTGGTTTTTATCATAGATTCAATGAAAGATTTCGTTAGTCTTATTTATTTTTGATGGAAATATTGTTTTATTCCCTCTCCATACCAATGTTTCATAAAATCTTACATGTGAGTTTATAGTTTACTGCTTACTCTTAACATTTCTTATTGGTCTATTTACATTTCATGGTTTTATTTTGATTAATTTTATTTAATCAGATTATTAGGAACTCCGACTGAATCAACCTGGCCATCTGTTGTTGAATTACCAGATTATGAAGTAAGCAATAATGATTTTTCTAAAAAATAATTGTCTTTCTCTATCAAAACATATTATCATTCAACTACAACCTTAACTATTCATTGGAATCATTAAATTGTGACATATTTACTATGAGACGTTAAAGATGATGTACGAGTCAATGTTTTGATAATATTAATGAGTGGGATTATATATACACACAGATTATGTATTTTGACTAGAACTTTGACTATGTCCTGATATTATTGTTTCTTGTGCAATAAAACTGCAAATTTTAGATTTAGTTTCTTGTATAAACAAATCAAACCTTAAGTACTTTACATATATTTTTCACCAACTAATCACTCCATGTTTTGAAACATGAAATTAAAGCTTTTTTTATCCGACGGATGTATATATATATATATATTCAAAAAAGAATAATTGGTATACGCATACATAATAGTTCCAAAGTATATGATTTGATTGTTCGTTGTTTGATCCTGATAAATCGTTATTCTTTACAATGTTTACAGTAATTCTGATCTAACGTCAACAAATCCACGATGCCGACTTAGTAGTCTAGAGGTTAAGCTTTCTCACACGAGACCGAATGCCCTGGGTCCGAGTCTCGCGTGCGGGATCGTGGGTGTGCACTGCTGAGAGGAGTCCCATACTAGGACGGAACGGCCGTTCAGAGCTTCGAGGTTTTTAATGGTGGTCTGACTTAAATCGACTCATGAATTCAACTCTAGGATACTATAAATTCATTGTATTTTGCTAACATCATCAATTTTACATTGTGTAAATTTGATAAGAAAACTCCTTTCACACGTCAACGTAATTGTTCTTAACTGGCTAATGTAACACCTTAAACAGTGTTTTCCTAGTTTAGATCTTGGAAACCATGTTACAATGTGATTATAAAGGTAATATGTAATGATAAGACAAGGTAACTGTAATAATTGAAGTAATTATTTATCAAAGTTGAAAACATGTTCATCAACAGTTGCCAAACTGAATTATATCTAATAATAAAAGGTATTTTTGAAGTCAATTTATTAATGTTTACGTACGAATAAAGAGTAAAATATTAAAATTGTGTAAGTGCACAAAAATGAAAGAAATTTAGGAAATTTAAGGAATTAAGCTTACTTGCTCTTGTATGACCTATGTCATTTGGACAAGACAAAGAGTAGGGTTGTATAAACTTCATTCTTGTCGAGAATATTCAGTTAATCTTTCGTTTTTTCATCATAGCGAGTCGCTTTAGCACAAGTCAGGATATTTATTAAGCTCTATTATATTTGATTGGTACAGAACTATAGAGATGAGTATATTTGTCTAATTGCACGATCTCTATGTATATTTCTTTTTAATGTTACATCTAATTGTCTTGTTAATCAAATATTTAGAAATGTTATGCTATTATTCTATGCTTCTGTTATAACTCTCGGTATTACTTCGTCTAATGTTATAACGCTTATCTACACTAGATCCCTCCCAGTGTCTATTCTACAGGACTTCAACACAACTCAGATCAAGAACACGTAATCAGCCTGACCAGAACGTAATATATTTTCACACCAAAAACCGACACAATTCACAACAATGAACAATCAATAATAAGTGTATGTATATGTGTGTCCGAATAATAAGGATAAGGGAATATATAACTTATCTGACACCTGTCAGATTGTCTACATGTCTGACTAAGTAGACAACCAATCATGATCATTCTCGCCCACACATCAGCTTCTTCAGAAATAAATGCTATTGAAAATGTTAAGCGAATCGTCATTATTGGTGTTTTTTTCACAATATACATGTATCTTTCATGTAAAGACAGTGGAATTTTTGTTGAATTATTGTCTATAAGAGGTCCATTTTTCATTTTTCCAAGAGGAAATTTTGTCAGGAGACGAGATCCAGTGATGATCTAATGACTACATCTTCTACTTGTTTATAGAGTTCATTGTTAAATCGAAAGTTGGCATCCGTCGTATACATAAGAATGAACTCTTATTATACAAAGAAGAACCAAGGTTTTTATGTTTCTGTCTACTAGTTTACCGTAAATAAAATCAGTTTCTAGTGTAAATAATTAGGAAATTGAAGCGATACATTTAATGCTCGGAAAAAGTTGTTTTTAATCACTGGTTCTTTTTAAATATTATCAATAAATTTACGGAGGGTTTCCACATTGCTGTTAAAATTTCTTAGAACAGTTTGAGAATTTATGTGGAATTATTCGTATCTAAAACAGGTCAAAAAGCGCTTATATGTAGTTTAGACAAGCCAAGTATCCTCAGCATTATCGTTCATGTAGGTCTCAACATTTATTTGTCCTATCTATTTTATTTTACAAAACGTTTGAGTGAGAACTTTCATTATACTAAATTCCATCTTATTGTGTTCACATGACATATTAAACACACGTTCGATACTTTGGAAGTATAACATCTAACTCTCCCAATCCCGACGTGTATATATAACGGTTAACTTATTATTTTCTTTTATCAAAGAAAAGTTATCTTACATTTTGGTAATTAAAAATCTCATACAAAAAAATGCGTATTTATCATGAATATACACGAAATTTTACACATGGTGATAACCAATTTTATATTCATTAAGCTTTTCACAATTGTGTGTAATAATAATAATTGTTATTATTATTATTATTATTTAATATTGTCTAAGAAAATAGGGTTGGTAGAAATGGTTTAACATTCAGAATAATTTTCAGAAGAAATATTTATGACAATATTGAATAGATAATATGTATCGTTAATTCTTTTGGAGAGCTATTATTATTTATTCAAGTGTAAAGGTGAACCTGATCATTTTGTACATAGTTCAAATATCTACAACTATACGATAGTAATGTATCAGTAGTTCATTCTTGAATAATGTTACTATGTATCATTTAATTTATTTATTACATTATCTTTATTGATCTATTAGCCATTTACTGTGATGTATCCTCGTACAATGAATTGGCATCAAGTTGTTCCGAAAATGTCATTTCGTGGTCGTGATTTATTACAAGTAGGTGAAAAAATGTTTTATTCTATATTGTTTTATACGTGTAACATTTTAAATGGATTATTTTGTTCTCTATACTATATTTAGTAAATTTTTAAATTATAGCTAGATTCAGGACATGATGCACGTTACTTCAGGTAAACGTAACTGTATGTAGGTGTTGAAGTTCACAGTGAGACTCAATTCCATTACACCTCTCTTCAAATTTCAGTATGTTATTCAGTAAGCTGTCGGCTCTACATAATCACTACCTTATTCAACTAGCGCGAAGTTATTCGTAATGTTTGTTACTTTCTCAGAATTGATATTCAAAAGTTCCAACTTATACGAGAAACACTTCCTGGATTCCACTGTTAGCGACAACTCAATAGTAAACAGACCCGTGTAACTGCAAGTAATCTCTAGGCATCAACTCGAGTTTACCATATACGAACAGAGACTGATCAAATCCAGTCGTCAATATCAAAATACCAAAACTTATATGAGTACTAATGGATCTACCATTTCTTTATTTTGTATATAGTTTTATGGATTTCTATCATTTACTGTTATAAATTCTAACCAATAAGAACATGATCTTTAAAGATCGGGGGTTATATATATATATATATATATATATATATATATATATATATATATATAACAGTCCATAAATAGATCCTAGAAGTTATCCATAACTTAATCTTCGGATGTGACACCCAACTTCATACGTTGCATCATACTAAGCCTCAGAAACATTTTAATACAACATTCAAATCTTAATTGTGAAGAGCAATTATTTAGTCAAAAAACAAACAAAAATTATAATAGAAAAAAAGGTTGAATGATGTAAGTTGATTGGTTCAATAACAAAGTATGAATAACTTGTTCGTTAGGATTACTGAAACTGTGTAAGTGTACGAAGTTAATAAGGACTTTTATTTCATTGACCAGAAACATAAATATTGATATTTTATTAAATTATTTCTCATCCGGAAACTAATTGCATTTCAGTATTTCATCGATAAATTCTAATCGATAATGAAGTTTTGAGTATAACATTTCCTACAATCAAGTAACAAATAAATGTATACTTATATTCAGACACTTAATTTTTAAAATCTTTGTTCAAATACAATTCGGTTACTACATTTGTGTAGGGAAGATATGTGTTCATATTGGAAGTAAACTATTCTGTGCGAACCTGAAACATTTGAAGAATTATTAATGACCGTGCTTCAGTATCGACAATTATGATTGAATTTAAAACTATGCACTAGTGATTTTGACCTAGATAACTAGATAGATCTTTACTTGATGCATTTGAAATTCATGTGGAGTTAAACTCTCGTATTGTTGAAGTCATAAACTTAATTGAATATAAAACAACAACTGATTCTTGGTTAGTTTCTAATATTTCTATAATTTTGCTTTATTTCCGGATGAAAAATTTCAATCAATTTGAAAATTAAGGGAAAAAAAATAAGAATTGAAGTGTTTTATAAGAAAATCAATCAAAAACTTATCCATTAAATATATACTTGTAGAAAGAAAGATAAAATTCTAGAATTTTCATTCTCAAGGAAGAACAATATTTTCTAAATAGATTTAATACAAATAAATTATTATTAATGTTTTTATTGATGGTTTTACAAACTTTGTTGAATAATAATTGACTGTAAAAATCCCAATAAAATATATTATAAATTACATATTCCGACGACAAACTATGAATATCACCCACAAACTAAGTCAATGATAAATCATAGAAACTATTCGACTACCTCTACCACTACCTACCAGCGCTAACTTATATATCATTAATTCTACCACTTTTATTCAATCACTACTAGCCAACCAGATACATTTACCATTAACTAGCATATGGATTACACAACTGTCATCAATTAACTTAGGCATAATAAGTTTATTAACAAGTCAAATCAAGTCACATTAACAAAACAAAACAGCAACACTTACAGAGTAAACGCTTTTCTCACTACATCTCCAGTAGTACTGATTAGTAATGCAATTATGTCACATATCCACACATATTATCTACATATTAATATATATTATACATACATATACATATATTTAATACAAACAAAAATGCACATTTCACTCACACCAAACCTACCTAGTCATGATGTACAGTTCATTTGATTTACCAAGAAATCTATCCAGCCACAACTACTACTGCTGCTTTAAGCCACATTCCAGTCATTTACTCAACTCAACTCAACTAAACCAAACAGATTACGCAACACCGTCTCAACAAAAAAACCAACACAACACACATCTATTATCTCATTCTCATCAATAATATTTGTCAGAAGTACTTATATCATTATTGTTGCAACCACAAGTATTATCATTCTGATTACTCATTATTATTATTATTATTATTATTATTATTATTATTATTATTATTATTATTATTATTATTATTATTATAGCTATTGTACACTGTCATTTTAAGGCAAACCGATCCACTAGCTTACACCACCATATTTAGAAAATCAAGAACATAGTCGTTAAAATTAGTAAAGCTTTTTTTCATCGAAAATAATAGTACTGATCAGTTGATTTACAAAACTAAAATTACAATACCAATAAGCAATTTATCTCAGAAAACAAAACTAAACAACTCTCAATCTCTCAGAAAACTTTTTGCTCACTATTAGTCAATTAAGAGGTTACTTCAAGTGATTGCTATGCTTATCTGTTTTTCATGTACACAATTAATAATAAGAAACAAGGAAATAGCAAAGTAGACCATATCAACTAACTAAGTAAAATAAACAGAAAAACAAACTCATTCTCGGAACATGTACAGTTAGTTAGCCAAACAATATCTGCCGATAGTTTTTATCCCAGTTTTGTTAATGTCACCATCATTTATTTCATTATTATGATTATTATTTCATTCACTATAAACAAAAATAGCGTCTTCGGTATCAATCACTTCATCTCTTTCACTCACTGACAAAATTAATTCAGTCATAAAACAAGGTGATAAAAGCATTCTCACAAAATATCATCATATTTGGCGTTCATCCGACAGTCTAAACATGAATTCGTTCATATTAAAGAAACAGTCAAAAATATGTAAACAAATGTAGAAAACTATGCAGTTAGTTTGTTTGTCTGTCAAATACAACCAATTATGTGTGAACTCACGTTATTTCTATATGTACATGTTTTATAGGTAATTAAGTAAGTAGTATGTTCATAGGTAGGTTAATAAAAAGCATCCAATTGCAAAAGTCATTTAACATGGATTTTACACATCATTGGGACGTCCTGTTTATCCTGGTTATAATGCATTCCGTTGAAATAACAAAACCTATCAGTCGGATAACCAAAGGTACCAGTGGACAAAATCGCTATACCAGTATAACATTCATTTACCAAACTGCTTCATTCCGAAAGTTATATTGTACCACACAATTGAAATGACCATAAGTTTTCTCTCATTGAAGTCAACAGTTAGTTAACCAGATTTCCATTTATTTATCACCTTCAAACAATAGCAATAACAAGTACTGTGTGCAAAATATTTCACCATTTCCAACAATTGTCACACTACCACACCTGCAAAACACAAACTATCTTCTGTCTTCACTACTCTTCTCTTACCGAAACAATAAAATTAGATCAGATCAGTCTTCATTTCTGATTATTACAATTACTATTATACCGTTATTATTGCGTTGACCAACAGTTGTCAAGGTGGAAAAAACGCTAGAATTTGCACAAAAACATGCGTCTTGCCAATAAAACAAACACTATAAACCAAACATAATAGAAGACTGTTCACGTTGAATAATAGAAACTTGAGTCACTCAATAGTTTCCGCAATCCGCTTACAGCTAATGGTGGTAAGTGCGATAGTAGAATTAACAGAAGTAGTAGCAGTAGATGACGACCACTCAACCTGCCCCATATTATCATCTATAGGTAAATAGCGAGTAACACAGATAGATAGAGGAAGAACAACAAGAAGAAAAAGAAGTAAAACACACAAAATTACCAACTAGTAAGCAAAGATAACAAACCACATTAAAACACCGCCATTACACATACCACTACCAGTCACAAATTCTCGAGGTCGATTAGTTTTACCCAACAGTCGCAAGGCGCGTTAGCAAGTCACAACATAATACATAGAGGTGCGTTCTTCCCCAGGATGTGATATCAAAACCGACCGGTGAAAACACCCACACACACGCAACCACCCCCATCTCCCACCCACTGCCAGCCAGCCAGACCAACACACAACCCCCGACGCTCCCACCCGCCCGCCTCCTTTAACCTTCACCGCCGAACACCACTACGTCGCAGACGTATCACCACAGTTCACGAATATCTCACCTCACTGCTCATTCCCAGCTTACTACACACCACCAATAACAATAACAACATCTCCAACTAACTGTACCGGCGACAAAACACAACATTACCACAAAAACACATCATCTTAAGTAACCCTATCACACCCACTTGCACATATCACAGTCATGGAAATATGTAGAGAACAGGACAGCACGTTGTCTGGATGACAGTCGCTTGCACCTCAACAACAACAACAACAACAACATTGCGTGTATGTTTAAGTAAATCAACACATAAATAAATGTAAAATATCCTCTCTTCAATAAGTCATCGTTTGCAGTTACTAATTACCAGCTATATGACTCAAACACAACCAGTCTTCAATTCATAGTATATGACATTATGATTGTTACCAATACCATTAGAGTTAACAGGCATAAAAACTAAGTCAATGATAAATCATAGAAACTATTCGACTACCTCTACCACTACCTACCAGCGCTAACTTATATATCATTAATTCTACCACTTTTATTCAATCACTACTAGCCAACCAGATACATTTACCATTAACTAGCATATGGATTACACAACTGTCATCAATTAACTTAGGCATAATAAGTTTATTAACAAGTCAAATCAAGTCACATTAACAAAACAAAACAGCAACACTTACAGAGTAAACGCTTTTCTCACTACATCTCCAGTAGTACTGATTAGTAATGCAATTATGTCACATATCCACACATATTATCTACATATTAATATATATTATACATACATATACATATATTTAATACAAACAAAAATGCACATTTCACTCACACCAAACCTACCTAGTCATGATGTACAGTTCATTTGATTTACCAAGAAATCTATCCAGCCACAACTACTACTGCTGCTTTAAGCCACATTCCAGTCATTTACTCAACTCAACTAAACCAAACAGATTACGCAACACCGTCTCAACAAAAAAACCAACACAACACACATCTATTATCTCATTCTCATCAATAATATTTGTCAGAAGTACTTATATCATTATTGTTGCAACCACAAGTATTATCATTCTGATTACTCATTATTATTATTATTATTATTATAGCTATTGTACATTGTCATTTTAAGGCAAACCGATCCACTAGCTTACCCCACCATATTTAGAAAATCAAGAACATAGTCGTTAAAATTAGTAAAGCTTTTTTTCATCGAAAATAATAGTACTGATCAGTTGATTTACAAAACTAAAATTACAATACCAATAAGCAATTTATCTCAGAAAACAAAACTAAACAACTCTCAATCTCTCAGAAAACTTTTTGCTCACTATTAGTCAATTAAGAGGTTACTTCAAGTGATTGCTATGCTTATCTGTTTTTCATGTACACAATTAATAATAAGAAACAAGGAAATAGCAAAGTAGACCATATCAACTAACTAAGTAAAATAAACAGAAAAACAAACTCATTCTCGGAACATGTACAGTTAGTTAGCCAAACAATATCTGCCGATAGTTTTTATCCCAGTTTTGTTAATGTCACCATCATTTATTTCATTATTATGATTATTATTTCATTCACTATAAACAAAAATAGCGTCTTCGGTATCAATCACTTCATCTCTTTCACTCACTGACAAAATTAATTCAGTCATAAAACAAGGTGATAAAAGCATTCTCACAAAATATCATCATATTTGGCGTTCATCCGACAGTCTAAACATGAATTCGTTCATATTAAAGAAACAGTCAAAAATATGTAAACAAATGTAGAAAACTATGCAGTTAGTTTGTTTGTCTGTCAAATACAACCAATTATGTGTGAACTCACGTTATTTCTATATGTACATGTTTTATAGGTAATTAAGTAAG